GAGAGAGAGAGAGGAAAAAGAAAAAAGAACCGAATCCAGTTCCTTTAACCCTTCCTTCCTCGCTTCTCGCTTCGTGCGCTGCTCGACTCGAACGAAAAAGCGTCGAACGTCGATGAAAGTTCTCGAGGGAGGATAACGATAAACCTTATCGCACGGTGTATAGAGTAACCTTTTCACGCCGGAATAACCTAATACCGTTAAAACATTCTGGCAGTACGTGGTAATGACTTCCGTTGATGGAATTAACTTGGCGCATTTACATCAAACGTTCATAGACTTAATTGGAATATCGTGTATCTCTCGTTACACGCTACAAACTTGTTTCGTTTGAACGCGTCTTGTATGCAGTCCGAAGATAAACATCATTATCGAATTGTATCTATTTCGTACCCCCCCTTTAATTACCGGACCCACAGCTATATATACGTATAACTGGAAAATTTCACGCTACTATATTCGCTCCAATTAAGACAAACCTCCACCCCGTGTCATAATAAAAGGCTCCCCCCAAACAATGAACTCGCTATTGTCCTATCCATCCGATTTACATAGCTATAAAAGAGAACGAGCCATTTGCAGGGAGAGGGGGGAGATTTTCGAGTTTACACGACCGTGACGGCGAACTTTCGCGTAATTGCGCGTCAATGTCCTTCGAGGGGGAACATCTCCTCGCCAATAACTCCCGAGCGGAGAAAGAAAGAAACATAGATAGATAGATAGATAGATAGAGAGGGAGGGAGAAGAGAGAGAGAGAGAGAGAGAAAGGAAGAAAACGGAGCACGAAATAGTCGTGGAGAGATGCCGTGGAACGATAACGGATGCCTCGCGTCGCGGATCTTGTCTCGTTGTCTTCGGGCAGCGACGCGGTGCGCCGACATCCGGCACCGCGCAGCCCACCGAGAAGCGAGAAAAAGCGAGGAGAGGACCGTCAAACAGATTGAAATCAACCGACTTCTATTTTCTCCTCCTGCACTGTACCGGAGCCAGATCTGAAATGAAAATCTGTGGTCCCCGCGAGCGAGGAACCGCAAGATAATTCAGAAAGAAGAGAGAAACCGAAAGGAAGAGGAGAGAGACTGCGTCCTTGTACGCCCGTCCTGTTTTACGAATCGCGGGCATTCAGTCAGACTGATTAAAATGTCTCTCTACAACGTGACCGAATTACGAATTTTATCCTCGAACCGAATATCCTCCCGTCCCTTTCTGCCCGACTAAAACAGTTTTCAATTTACAATCATTTCGATATTCAATTAACGATTTTATATTACAACGAGTTTCGTTATTTTCAAAACAGATATTACGTTTAATAATCGTAACTGGAGCGAAATCCAACCGTTATATTTATTGTTTCAAACTGCGCGGCCGTGCGGCTCGTGCGAAAGTCCCCGTATCATCTTTCATGGACAAAATTATAAAGCGGAGAAAAAAAGGGGGGGAAGAGAAAGACAGGGAAATAAAAAAAACACAAAGGGAATGAGAAAAAGAGAAACGAGAGAAAAAAAAGACTTTCCGGTTATCAGATAAAATTTTAGTATGGCAAAAATACGAGAGAAAAGAGGACTTTAGCTCGTATGAATCTGCTTGGTAAGCGTTTTTTCCCTAACTCTGACACAGAGAGTCGAGCAGAGAGAGAAAGAGAGGGAACTGTGGGAGAGTTTCCAGTTATGGAGAAAAATTTTATATAATCTGGACTCGGTTCGGAGACGGGAAATTTCGAAAAATCTCGGCGCAACTTGGAAAGTCTCGCGCACTTACAACCGGTAAATCGTTTTCCGTCCTTCGAGAACTTACAAGTTTCATTCCTTTCTCGACGAAACACGTTGCCCGTGTCGTGTGTCTCCTTTTTCCTTCTCGCCCTCGTACACTCTTCCCCCTCTCATCTCATTTATGTTCAACTTTCATTTCCCAACCCGTAGGAACTTTCGATTAAATTTTCATAGAGGAACGCGCGAGAGACCATGCAACGACTGCAGCCTCGAACAGTCAGTCGAGTAATTTCAGGACCGAACGTCTCGATCCTTTGACGCGATTCGTAACGGCTGATATAACCGTGCATATTCAAATTCGCAATTCGTGATACATTCCGGTCGAATCGAGACTCAGAGGCGACTATTGTTGGAACATAATCAGGAACATAATACACCCGTCTTGCCTAAGCTGCGAAGCAAGATGTACGCTTAATCCACGTTTGACGCTCGCTAGCCTGTTGGCTGGCTATACAGACGAGCGTGCGATATTGCGCCAAACCGAGCAATTACTGTCAGTAATCTCGCTAATAGAATTCCAATATGCGTGCCAATTGAACCGAGCCACCGTATGGCCGTACGGGCGTGAATCTGCAGATTGCGCGCGAACAACGAAAGCTGTGACACGATTCGCCCATTAACTATGCCCTCAGTTTGCTCGACGCAAGTTCTTTGTACATGGTGCACTTAGAGCGTGCCAACCGTAACATAAACGCGCACGAAACTTATACTCTATACAGACTACAAAATCACAAAAGCTAAAACGAAAATTTAAACTTAATGATATCCGTATTTTTCCACGATGTATATACGTGTACGCGAATTACCTCGACGTTACATATATACCATAAATGTTTATAGATATGAATATGCTGTATTAATATACTGTATATTAATAATATACAGTTCAATTTCGAAAGTTCCTTTATTGTATAGATATTCTGTACATACGTATAATAGGAAGTATATTTATCCAATGGTTGATATTTCGAAAAATATATTGATATTACACCGTATTTTAATTGTTCTTTATCCAACAAAAGCACAACGTAGGGAAATAAAAGTAATATAAATACACGGTGACAATCGTATCAAGAAAACGAGTTAATATACGAAGGATTTGAATGGGAGGACAAATCGTTAATTGGACTTGGTACGATGTTACCGTGCGAATTGTTCGCCAGGAAATTACCTCGATATCTTCTCATTGTCGTTTTGTAACGATGCTGCACCGTTATCTCGGAAATATACAAATTTTCTTCAAAATTGTTACGAGTCACTGGCACCGTTAAACCGTTGACGCGATACATTAAAACACTACGTACGACAAATCAACGTTCGAATGATTTCCGGAAGTATATAGGTAATTATAGGCGCGCGAATTTAAATATAAAAAAATTAACGTAGTCGTCGTTATGGAAGAAATTTAAAGCGCACGATCGAACGTTTTATACGTATCATTGATCTTATCGAATTGTGAGATAAATTTTATACCGATTCACTGGATGATTACGTTTAATTGCATCCAATTATATCGATACGAACGACTCGGAAGACTCGTTTATTGAATCTTTCATAACGATTCTTTTCGCTTGTTATAATCGATGTGAAACACGTGTAGATAATAGAGTTTCGTAAAATAATTTTACTCGAAATTTTAGGATCTAATTAAGACTTTTAGATATAAATCGTATCTAAACTATTACGAAATTAATATCTTTTCGATAACCTGTACAGATTTATACATTATAACGTACGTAAAGAAAAATTAACCTCGTTAATCACCATAAAAATAGTCATTGAATTGAACACATTAACAAACACTTGTGAAAACTTGTTACATTTTCTTTGTTATTTAACCAAAATATGTTTTATACGATAAAAAGCTAATACATTTTTATTTAATTCAAAATTACACAAATACACCTTGCCCAACTTGAGTACGTTCCTAAGAAGTGTCAATAAATGTTTGTAATTCTTTAATTTTCACCACATACTTATAAATGCGTAAACAGTTCATTGACTAGTCGGTGGAGATTCACCATTATCGTATTGATTTTTATTCCTCAGCAAGTATGCAGCTAGAAAGCTGATGGGATCTGCGGGTCTTTCCTTGGCCAATGTGGACAGAGCTTGTAATAAAATTGGTACTACAGTTTGATCCAAATATTGCCTCGTTGGAAGAGATTGTACTTCGACGCGTGATTTCTTTGGTGGTACACCAGTAAGATCGGAATCCTTATTCATTGCTAATATCCTCTACAACAGTAAGAAAACAGATATATCAGATTAAGGTTAGTGATACTTTAATCGATATTAATTAAATTATTTATCACTATTTTGTTATACATTTAACGAATACACATAAAGGAATATTGTAAAAGCTATAAAAATATCTATGAATTGAATAAAACTGTGAAATATATGAGTCAAGATAGTCAAATAACCTAATAACCAACAACGCTGATACGAAAACAAACTCAAATTTTAATATAACAGCTGTCATTAGATTGGCGGGAAATGGTATAATTTGTTTTAATCAAACGATCCATTGTAAATTTCGATATATAAAATCAATTTTATAAATAGGAAAATATTCGATCAATCACGATAGTTTAGGAAATAAGAATCGATAACCAAGAAATAATAACATAACAGATTACGCCTAGATTTATAGGTTATATGACTTACGTGCGCTGTTTCGCTCACAACATTGGTGAGAGGTTGTGCCGGCGCCGCTGGCTCGGTCCTTTCCTCTGGTGTATTTTCCGCTATTATAAGAAGAATACGTTGATCGACATTATTAATACCAAAAATCCCAACAAAGGTATCGCTTAACGGTACCTATTAAATGATAAAAAGCAAAATAAACGGTACGTACCACCGCCAGACGCCATCGTGCCAACAAATGATGTTACCAACCACTACGAGTTATCACTGCACAAACATCGTTCAAATGTTACCATATCGTAAACATTCAAAATTCTACAGGCTTTATAAAGATCGTGTAAAACATTTGATATTGCAAATCAATAACGTATTCTTTTTTTTTTTTTTTGTTTTTTCGTATTATGATAAAATATACTTTAGCGGTTTCTTAAAATAATAGAAATACGACGTAACAATTGTTCCAACGTTACATTTAACAAAAAAAATAATCTTTCGTGACTTACGATATACGATTAGATTATAATATAGATGTTTGGAATCTAAAATCATAAACAATAATTGTTTTTTTTGTTTTTTTGTTTTTTTTTTTTTTTTGGTTTTATTTATTTAACGTAAAGTTAGACGCTACTACGACTTTGGTACAAAAACATAAAATAGTGGTACTGAGGAAACGGTGTATTGCGAGCGGATCCTCGAGTCCCTACGAACGCGGAGTATCGTTGTACGAGAATATAAACTTACAGCCAATTTAAAGGCGAGCATTGACATTGTGAGCGCAACACAGGGTACTAATTTACGAAATGTCCCGAGTCTGCTTGCAACCGAAAAAGATAACGATACGCGCCCCGCCGAAAGAGAAGCTCGAAGAACCGCCTCGTCGTTGCACAAAAATGGACATCCAATATTCTCCAATGAACAAAGCATAACATATACGTATAACGCGGACGGCGGCACCGACCGTTTCACAGCATTATAAAAAGTAACGTTAAAACCTTGCGAATAGAAGCGATACCAGATCGATCACACGTAATATAACAGATAATAAACAGATAATAATATTCCCAAATCGATTAATAGAAGAAAGCTATACGACAATCCGCGGACATCACGTTTTTTTTCTTTTTCCATGCTCTTTTTTTTCTTTTTTTTTTTTTTTCTTTTTTTTTTCCCTTACTTACTTAATATCGACGCGTCACACGCGTGTGCGGCGAGATCGATCGTACGGCTAATATCGAATAAGTTAAATATCTTTCGATTCTTTTTTATCGCGTTAAGTTCCAAAGCTTGAAAGCGAAATGCTCCGATGCGAGCGTTACGTGAGTAAAACGTGATATACATCGTAAAAGGTGAGTTGGATATGGCTACATTAATGTGGTAGAGCGCGATCGTAACACATAGACACGAGACACGAGACTTTGCGCAGCCTTTAAAATCACATCGATGAAAAGTGCGTCGGCGAGCGGAATCGTAGCCAGCGATACGAACGGACCTTTTGAGATTCACGGTCAAAGTAGCCCGGCAATATCTCGTCGTCAACGAGGAGATCATCCTTTGACCGTTGATCATGCTCGACTGGTGTACCAATCTTGCATCGCCTCGGCAAATAAATGCGACATCTAGACATACCTACTTACAACGTATGTATATGAACGTCAATGTATGTATATATATATATATATTATATATTATATATATTATTTTTTTTTTATATCTAAATAGTGTTGTGATAAAAACGAAGTATGAGACACGCGCCGTAACCGTATCCTGGCATCACATCGATGTAACAAGATCGAACGTAATCACGAATTTTTCAAAAATTTTTCTTTTTTCGTCGATTTTCTTTTTCTCTTCTTTTGTTTTTCGTTGCACTTATCCATTTGTATATCGACGCGTGGCCATTCAACGAAAGAGAAACGGCGGATCTCGCGACCATCCGTCCGACTTATGCCCTACTTATATTTTAAATCGGTATTTGTTTGCTCGAATTGCTTACACGTATAATATCATCGTCGCGTGTCATATCGTTAAATTCACGTACGTTCAATAATTGATCGAGATTAGCTTGCGAATATATGTGTGTGTACAGCGGACTAAATATATTATTATATAGGACGATTAAAAAATCGAGCGATTGGTGTGTTGCTTGCGCCTTATCCTCTCTCCCTTCAACCTGTATGACGGTGTAAAATGGTGTGCTCAACCTCGACGTTGAATGAAATCGGTGTTTCACGTGATCTAGCAGCGTGCCGCGTTCTTCCTACGGATAAAGTCGATCGGCTAAAGTGAAATTTGTTGAGGTAATTTTTCCTTTTTTTTTTTTTCCTTTTCTTTTTTTCTCTTCTTTTCTCTCCTTTTTTCTTTTTCTGTCTACTTTTTCTCGTTCATACGCGCGGAAGAAGTTATCGGTTGGACGCCACCACGGAATCGGATGCGGTGTCTAACTAGATTGCTACGACGACGACAACGACGACGCGACACTGTCGCAAAAACAGCGCACTTCTAGACTTGCTCTCCGCGACGTCGAGACTCAAAAGATCGTCGATCACCAAGTGACAGGGACACAACCTTCGTTACGAAATTATATAAATCGTATGTATATATATATATATCGTATAATATTATCATATGTATGTATGTATGTATGTATGTATGTATGTATGTATAATATCATATGCCTGCGGGGAGCGGCAGTGTGGCACAACCATGACTTAAAAAGCGAGTAACTAATGTAATATCTCGTGTCTTGCTTCCCGTGACTCGTGGGTGGGGCGCTTGGAAGCGACAATTTGTAACCTAGGGACATCCCGCCAAACCCCTCCTCCCATGGAAACGCACCGTCGCCGTGGAGAGCACGCGTCGATTCTAGTCGGATTCTAGTCGAGCTCATATTCTCAACACGAACACGCCGGGTATGTTCGTTCTTCCTTCCTTTTTTTTTTTTTTTACGCGACACGATATCTTGCCCCTGGAGAATTAGCAATTATCGCCTTCGCCTTTATTATTATTATTATTATTATTATTATTATTACAGGATCGGCAGTCAATCAGAAATTTGGCAGTTTCGCGATTCTGGCCTTCTCCAGAAATCGTGCAACGATTGAGCAAGAACGAGTGAAAAAACGCGGAGAAGTAGAAAAAGGCCAAAAAGTGGGGGAGGGGAGGGGAGGGGATTGGGAAGGAAAGAATGGTCGAAGGCGAAGGAGGCAATATATCGTCGCGTTCGAAAGAGGCGTCCTAAAATCTAGGCGTCCCGAATCTGTCTATCTCGACGCGGCGGATGGTTTCTCCATCCATGTTGGTGAATCGTGTCGGAATTTTGGAAACCGACGACAGGAGCCGGGGGAAGAGTGAGCGTCCGCTTCTCTCTTCGGTGACGCTGGTGACGAGAGAGACGGAAGACGACGGAGGATGATTTACAGGTTACACTGCCACAGTATCGTAGGGTGTGAGGAGTCCCCCGTGACCGCCGTGGCCGGCGCCGGTTTGCCGGCTGGGGGCTTCGTTTCTGTAACAGCCAGTTTAATCATTTCAATTCTTGCCCTCGTACTCGCGCGTCCATCCACCCTTTTCTTTCGTTCTTTCACCGACACATTCTACCACTCGGCTCAGCAGATACTAACCAATATTATCCTCGATTGCGATTCTCGTATGCGTCTAAAGGATAGAAGAGAAGATAAAGAGTCTAGTCTGCGCGTGATTTCAGCGCAACATGCATTATATATATATATATGTGTGTATATTTAGCTTCGTTAAAGTCGCGCGACTATATCGATTAGACTAATGATTAAAATAAAAATTTTTTTAATTAATAAACGAGCGTAACGGCGATAATAAAATTAACGGATATTTGTTAAAGATAAGTAGCACCAGCAGCAATGGCAGCAGAATCTGTAGTGGTGGCACAATGGACAGCTGTAGCGAAAATAACGGATGGCAACGATGGTTGGTGATCGTGGTGACCATCGATGTGATCTAGCGGGAGAAGAGAGAGAAAGAAAAAAAAAAAAAGGAAAAAAAAGATGAATGTTAACTACGAGTATATAATAATCACATCATTTGGCAATCACGTCGTTGCAAAATTGCATGCAAAAAACACAGTTGAGTTAACTGAGTAAGTAAGTAAGTAAGCGTTAATTCGACCCAGGTAGAGATCTGATTGTCGTTGGTATGAAAGCAACGCTGTCGAAGCATTGACTGACCTATATTCTCGTGGCCACAAAAAAATAAAATACTAATAGCTAAAGAACAAAGTTGTTAAAAAGCTTCTAAAGCTTTTCAAAAATAATATATCTCTATTAACGCGATTCTCGTATAAAATGCATCCTGCGGCATTGATTCGATTAATAATTATTATTACGATTATTATTGTTCTTGTTATTATTATTATTATTATTGTCTAACGAACTTACGGCTTCCTGCGTAAAGAGTCATGAAACAAGAAAAAGTCAGAGATTGTCGTTTAATAAATATTAGATTAGATGGGGGGGAGGGGGGGGGGAAAAAAAAAAAAACAGGATCGTTCTTAGCGAAACCACCGTGCACTCGATCGCTATTTTCGAAAAATTTTCGAAATGATATTGTAATGATAACAATTCGATCGAACGAGTCATATATATATATGTACCTTAATGATTCCTTTAACGGGTGGGGGGGGGGCAGGGGGGGGAATTAAAAGGGGGAGATTAAGAAAGGAAAAAAAAAAAAAAAAAAATCAATTTCACCAGAAGAGAGAAGCAAATCTAGCAGAAAGTGTATAGCGCGTGTATACACCGCTACGGAGGGTACGTTCGTTCGTTCGAACGGCAAAAAAGTCGAAGCGACTAAGAGGAGAGAGAAAAAAAAAAAAAAAAAAGAAAACGAAGAGAGAGAGAGAGAAGAGATTGGCCAATTTACTTTCGAGAATGTCAATGACAATTTCTCGAGGCAGAAAGAAACCTCGCTCGAGACACAGCGGCATGAAACGGTGAACGGTTCTCGTGTTTTCCGACCCGTGCACCGTTAACCAAACTCACTCGATCTCTACTGACCTCTCTATGAGTTTACGCATCTCCTCGGTGGTCATGCCGTCCTTGCCGCGAGCATTCACTGAAATAGAAAAACACACGGCACGATTGACACGTAACGGTAAACTACTACGACGACACGTAGCATGCAAATGTGCGTATGTGTGTGTGTGTGTGTGTGTGAGAGAGAGAGAGCGTGTGTGTACGTTTATGTAGAAAGCTAAACGATCAGAGAGATACACAGAATCCGGGGCGAGTCGTTCTTCGTCGTGACTCGTCCGGCATGCCTATATATTTCCTACTGCGTAGAGAGAGAACGAGCACACGGGCAGGGAATCCGGAGGGCGAAACGTAACCTCGAAACGTAAGATCTCGTCTCCTCTCCCTCTTCGCTCCTTTCCAGAGGAGTGAAAGATTGGATTCGTTTCGCTCCAAGGATCCCCCCCCGCTCTCGAACACGGGTGTTTCGTACTGACCGCCGTAGTTGCGGTTCACGAGTTGGTCGCGGTCGCACTCCGCCTCGCTGATCTCGTTGCTCTCCTTGCTGTCGTTGAAACTCGAGTTGTTCTGGTCGTGGTTCCTTGGCGGGGGTGGTGGCGGCTCCGGTGATCCAGAGACGGGGATGTTGCGTGCCGAGCCTACGCTACGACGGCCGACCGAGCCGCGGGACCCGTAATGGTCGTACGGGGCGCCGTATTGGCCGTACTGGGAACCGTATTGATCCTCCTCGGGCGCGCAGTTTGCCGGGTCGTCGTATTCGGGCGAGAACACGTTGTGGGTTCCGCTGCCGCCTCCTTGGGACGGTACTCGAGAGTAGCGGCCGTTTTGACGGGGCTGGGAAGCATGAAGAACGAAGTCGGGAATGCAGCGAGAGCGTGTATAGAGGGGAGGGGAGGGGGGGGGGAGAGGGGAGTCGAGATACCATGGATTGAGATCCGGAGCGGCTGTGGGCTGAGGCGTTGGTTGGGTGTCCAACGGGTGGTCCCATGGTGCCCGAGTGTCCGTTGCCTGGATGGGGGAAGGTCTGGAATTGCATGGCCTTGCTGGGGTCCATCTCCTCGCGGAAGCCGAGAAGATGGAAGGTGGCGTAGGGGCAGATCTCGTCTTCCATGCCTGAAAGAAACGATCATCGAGGGTAGACACTGCAGTTATGGGTCCCGATCGAGCCGATCTATCCATTCGATCGCTGGGATATTATCGATAATGATAACAATATGGCCGTAACGTGTACGTAATCCCCGCCGCAGGGTGCGTGCAACTTCTTAAGAACAGGTAAATAGATCTGATCAGGTACCTACGTTTCTTACGTTTCTCCTTCTCTTCCCTCGTACTCTCGTACCCGTTACACAGAGAAACATATTTATATAGGGATACGTAAATCGTGCATGCAAATCGTACGTTTAAATAAATCGAATCGTCGCTCGATCGAAGATGCAGGAACATGGAACTCGTTTTTATCGTTCCGCTCTCTTTTGTTTCCCGGGAACAAAAACGAGGAAGCGAAGAAAAATCGATAAAGCGACGAGCAAAAAAAAAAAACAATTTGTTCCTGCATCCTCCGAATCTTGTGCGTCTATTCGTTAGTAAAAAAAAAAAAAAAGTGGGTAGCGAATCGATGTCGGTAGGCCTGGTATAGAGTGCGTATATCGTAGCAGAGTAAGTATATCGTGTTCGTTTGTTTATTCATTTATTTATTCATCTCTTTATTTGCGAAAACAAAAGGATAAATAAGAGCGCCAAGCATGCGAATTGTCGAACGTGCAAACGACATCAAATAGAGGGAGGAGGGAGGGAGGGAGGAAAGGGAGAGAAGATATTGCGTAGAAGAACCGAATCGTAAAACGGACTTACGAGGACTTGCGAAGGCCGCAATAGGTGGAGCGGCCGATCTAGGTTTAGCGATCGTAGTAGATCTCGCGATAGAGAGGCGAAGCGCTCGTGGATGCGACACGGAGAAGGGGGAGCGCTTCGTTCGGGTCCTTAACTACTTTTTACCAACCTCTGTGGGATAGAGCTTCGGCACTGCCCATACGTGGTGGCGGTGGACATCTTCGGTTCGGCGCGCAATGATTCAATTCCTCGTACATATGCCGTCTTGGATCCCAGGTCGAGTGGCTTCTTATCGAGCCTGTTCCACCTATCGAACATATACTACAAAGGTCGTACGAGGTGGCTGCCAATCTTACCGATCTTCGAATCGTTTTCGTTTGATTCATCGTTGGGCGTGTGAACAGAGAGGCGTGGAACGCGCGTAGCAATGCGACAAGCGCAACAAAATAAGGGAGGAGAAAAATAATCGTTCCTCGTATATCGGGCATACATCTCGATTACGTATATATATATATATATATATATATATATATATATATATATATATATAGAGAGAGAGAGAA